TTTGTGTCATGCTGGATATTGAACCTTTTCCATGTAAGAGTAAAACACATCCTCAGGGGTAAGTGAGCCTTCGTTCAGCTGCTGTGTCAGCTCAGACAGGGAGAGCGTCAGGATGAAAGCAGAGTCAGTTGTCGGATGCTAGGAGACACAGACCCACACAGAATCATTATGTCATTAAAAAAGCTGCAGCAAACAAATAAAAGCATATGAATGTAGAGATTCTGGATTCGTCATTTGGCCATTTTCCACTTCTTTACAAATTCTGTCAAACGTGACAATGACAATTCACAGTGCTTAAATGGTCTCCACAATCACCAGATTTCAATCTGACAGAGCACCCTTAGGATGTGGTGGAACGGGAGATTTACATCACTGATGTGCAACCAACAAATCAGCTGCAACTGCTAATGCTATTGTGTCAATATGGACCGAAATCAAACAAACGACCTAGAACAGCTGCATATTATTGGTGTGATTTTAACTTTTATTTTAATGCTCATGTTTAAAAGCCCTCCTGCCAGCATGGAAGGAGCATAAGCCCCACTGGGGACAATCCATTAGCCAATCAGAGTGCTCGTCCGTCCTCTCCCTGCTGTGGCGTACTCGGAGAGTAACGCAGCCTCAAGCAAGTTGATGGACGTTTGGACCGAATTGGACTAATGCTGGCTAGGTGAGTTCATAGAACCAAACCACATCCTTACTCGCCAGCTAGCGTGTGTTTGATGTGGGGTCACTATAAATAAAGTTCTCCAATACTGTAACATCATCCCAAGCCTCTGACCGGACCTTATTACAAGGGGACAGTATGGAATTGTGTCCGTTATTATAGCGGCGCTATAACAGCCCAAGTAAGCATGTCGACAAAAAAAAGTGTCAGCAATTTGATAATTAATAACTAAACCTCCGCCAGGTCTGAACTAAAAGCACATAATTTGTTTTGATTTCTATCTAAAGAAAATGTTAAACATTTCAGTGTTTAAAGCTCTGAACTCTCACCGACTGTTTGTAGTGGAGCACCTCCTGCTCTGCGCGCTGCAAGCTCTCATCTCTCCTGTTTCTGGCTCTCTTGATCTTTTCCTCTGCCTGTCGGAGGCTGTTGATCTTTTTCACCCGCACAACCAGGTATCCCACAATGCAGGC